ACTTGTAGTTGCTGATTATTTTTGCTTAAAGCACTATTTGTATTATCTTTTTGATTATATGAATATTGGGGGTCCTTGAGATCGCTTTCGCGGAAGGATCGAAAAACTGCTTTGTTGCTGCTTTTGGTGTTTATTGCTAATAACTTGTCATGGTGAAGTCTTTTGACAAACTTCACACCTCCTTTAAGTAGTTTAGGGGGTGCTGGATAACTTTACTTAAGAGCCGAATATCAATTTACTTAATAAGTTTTTGAGAAAATGCTGCGGAAAAGTTTTTTCTTCTTGTTTCTAATTTGGTAGAGTGATCTACGGGAAGAGTTTTTTGTGAAGTTGCAAATTTTGGGCATCTGATTAGATAAAAAACCTATATAACTTTTATAGCACCCTGAAACATTACTAAAAAAGATTAACAAAAATATTGTACCTTTATTAATATTATATATTTATATACTAATATGTGAATATAGATTCTTGATATTGGTATCTAATCAGATAATTTTGACTTTTTATATTTATGCCTTATATGATCAGTTACAACTATAACTAATTGATTATAATTATGACTAATACTTTACTAAATTTTGACCAATGTAGTTCTTAAGTCAAAAGAGCAATATATATATATATACAGATTATTTTCAGACATATTAGAAATGAAATATATTGTTATCTGATTAGTAAAATAGTATGTGCAAATATTGAGACTTTTTAAGAACAAGTATCCTAGAAATAATCATGAATAATCATTTTTAATTTTATCATATAATTAATTTGATTAGTCAAAAAATATAACAAATCATATGATATAATATTACTGTTTACTTATATTAATAAATTGGCCTAAGCTAATTATCATCCAACTCTAATCTACTAACACTAACCCTAATATCTTGGGCTAAATAATTAATTATATAATATAATAATTAATATTTTCAAATTTTCTATATAATAAAATTAAGATAATAATCTGTGATAATTACTGAAGTACTTGTTTTTAAATCTTCCCCAAGTATTTTTTTTTTTGATTGGTTATGCTTCCTTATAATGTTGATATATTTACTGTTTAGCTATTAAGTCAGTTTTATGCAAGACATAAATAACTGAATAACTGTATCTACTTATTTATTATTATTATTATTTATAAATTAAATTTTACAAAAGGATATTATTTATATGAAAAAAAGCAGCTTAAATAAAATATAGTAGCTTAAATTATATTTCATTTTCTACTAGAGTGTATCACATAATAGTACAGTTTTTCTAAAAGAGAGAATGATTTAAAACTAACACAAGTTATATCCTGTTCTTGTCTATTTTGGTTATTGCTTGTAAAAGCTACTTGCTATTTGTTAACTATTTTTACTTAAATAGCTAATAAATTAATAATTATTACTACAGTATATTTATCTATATTGATATAATTTTTAATATATTTGTCTGTGTTTTAAATACAATAATCTAGTATTTGTTCTATATTATATTCAAGAGGAGCTTAAATTATATTTCAGATTAAATATATAATATAACTATAATAAAGAAGACAAAATAGTAAAATACTATGTATTTGAATTTTTTACAATAGTATAATATTTTACACACTGAAGTCTAGCATCAAATAATAGCAAAGCTTTTCTTATTTAATAGTGTATATTTTTATTTTCATCTTAAAGTTAATAATTAACATAAAAATTATATTAATGTTATATTAAATAATTCATATTGTATGTGTAAAATATATATATAATTAAAAAAACTAATAGATTAGGTGATGGAGTTTTTAGTTCTGTGAATTGCAAAAAAAAATAAAATAAAATTAAATAAAAAATATTCATAAAATTTTAATAAATAATATAGGCATTCTAAGCAAAATAAAGAGCTATTAGAATAATTTTATAATAGAAGCTTTTTTTCATTCTAACACTAACTATAAAGAGCTATTTAATTATTTAATTTTAATATTATACTAATGATTGGCAAAAGCTCACTTAATTGTTATCTTCATTGTGTATTATAGATTATTCACCTTTGACCTGCAGAGCATTGTAACAAAAATATTTATCTATCATTTAATGATATATCTAATATCTGTTCTTTATATTTATAATTTTGTCTAACTTACAGTATGTATTATATTGAAATATATAAAGAAAACAAAACAATAAAATATTTTAGTAGTTGAATTTTATAATATTATATTATTTTAGCTAGTCAATTGTAGAGATTAATTTAATTTACTCACTTAAAGTCTAGCACAAAATAAGAATAAAAAAAAGGCATTGATTAGGAAATTGGAGGGATCTGGGCAATAAGGATAATTGTGGTGATATGAAGGATAATAACAATACTGGCTATAAGACCAATTTCGGGTTTTATTAGCGATAGAAAAGATCTAAAAGATCCTGCGAATGTAAATAGAAGAATTAACAATTATAAATAAAGGCCCTTTTGGCCCTTGGGAAGTATAACTCCCACCTTTACTTTTATTAACTTTGCTAAAACATACAAAATATTAAAGATACAAGTCTGTCCCTAAACTAGTACATAAACCTTATACATAACAAATTAATCCATACACCAAGTTATATCTAGCTTAGTAATTTCCATTTCATTTATTAATCGTAAAGATACCTAAGTCATATATTCAAAACCACGCTCGTTCATTTAACCACTCAGCCAAATCTAACACACCTTTTTCCGACCCATTGTAACCTAAACTTCGGTTACACGAAGCAACTTTCGTTCTAGTGACAGACTCGCCGATTTTTGGTTTTTTTGGGGTGTTCAAAATACTAGTAAAATCAAACATTAATCAGGGTCGCATATGATAAATTTTTTTTATGAAAATCCAAATTTACTGCGGATAATATCAACTTTCAGTACACTTTTCTCTTGAACTAGTATAATAATTAATGTCAAAATTTTTTTAAAAGATAGAGCAAATTGTATACTTTAATATAATAGAGCCATTTTTTCGATTAATACTATTTATACAGTATTTATATTATAAAATGGTGTAAATCAAAAAAATGGTTCTATTATATTAAAGTATACAATTTGCTTTATCTTTTTAAAAAAATATTGAATATTAATTATTATATTAGTTCAAGAGAAAAGTATACCAAAAGTTGATATTTTCTGCAGTAAATTTAGATTTTCATAAAAAATTTATCATATGTGACCCTGATTAATGTTTGATTTTACTAGTATTTTGAACACCCTAATGATATACGGATCATGGACATCGACAGTATAATTGCAACGCACGAGACCTTCGGCCATGTGCTTATATTATTATCCTATGTATCCGTCAATAACAAGAAATTATACTGTAATATTTGACTTATGACGTTTTCTAATCTACGAATGCAAGTATACATCATTTGAAAAAGGCACTAATATACGTTTTTAAAATTTATTCCACGTTCTTATTTATATTTTTTATACATTCTATATATCTTTTTTTTTTTTTTTTATGCTTCTGAATCTTTAGAAACTTTATAATTTGTTTAAAGTATAGAAAAATCGTTGGATAAAAAATAATAATAATAATAAAAATTAAGGCAGAGAACCTCATGATTAATAAAATGAATTAATGAAATACATCGTTTAATTGAAAAAATAATATGAAAAGTATAAGAACCGTGGATTAAATCAGTAATTGCCCACTTCGCGTGCAATAACTATAATTTATTTATTTTTTAGATCTTTTTCTCAGTTCTTCAATAATATCCATAATTTCTTTAAGAGAGGGTTCTTCTTCAGGAAGTAGAAGAATTTTATTAAGATTCGGTGGAATATAAGGTTTTTTATAACCTGTCCATTTATCTTTTTGGGTAAACATCACATGTTCACGAAGTGTAATAGTATGGCATTCATAAAAGCTTTAAATATAAAAAAATATGAATAATCGGAATAGTGCATTGTTTATTCATGCAAATAAATAACTTACATAATAAATGGAAACCAATTTTCTTTTCTTCGCTGATGAGGTAGCATATAGAATAATTCAATTTCTTCTAATATCTAAAAAAAATCTTAAAAAATGTATATATAAATATAAATTCAATTTATAGAGTTCATACCTCAGCTCTTAGAATTAAATAAGCCTCTCTTGTTTTAGTTTCACTTATTTCATTACTTAGTAAACCGATAAACAAATTCATTAAGTAAATAGTTGCCACAAAAGAAAGTATGATCGTTAAAATAAGTAAAGCAGCGTTATTATCTAAATCCCAGTAAGAAATTGGTGTTGAGTCTCCTAATAAAATGTACACATATTAGAATTTGATGTATTATCGTCAGTGGTGATTCATTGCAACTTTTGTAAAAAAGAATAATTTTGAAATTGACCTGTTATCATCATATAAACAGCCGCAATTGCTGTGCTCATAAACATAAACATATTTGTAGTCGCAGTAGGAGGTTCAATAAGTGAAGAGTTATTTTCAATTGTACCATTAGGATCTATAGTATTGTAAGTTGCAACCAAATTCCACGGATCATTAGGATCAGTGGAATAACTTGGATAATCTAAAGATACATTAACAGTAGGACGCAATAAAAGGTGTAATGAATGTGCAAAAGCAACTATAATAAATCCCAATATTATCAAAAACGAAAATCCTCTTTGAGCTACTCCAATTATCATAGAGAAGTAAGCACCAGAAATTTCAATAGCACGAAAAAATAAAAGAAACTTGATTTCCAATAATAAAGTAGAAAAGGTAGCCAATCCTGTTGGTATGTCATTATTTTGAAGCCACATTATTGACGATATCATTGGCAATAAAAATGCACCTAAATCTTTAAAAAAATATATTAGATATAACATGAGAATAAATTAGTATTATATATTAAAGTTCGTATTACCAAAAAAATTCCACGCACTAGACATATAATTTAATGGAGCGGAAATAAATTGGCGTAATTCAAAAAACAAATGCCAAGATCCAAGACAAATAGTTATTTTTAAGAGAATAAATAAAGTAGGCTGAGAAATACTTTGGTAATATGATGCAGCATATACAAAATTTAAAAGAAAAACTGTATAAATTGTCCAAATTACTAAATAATAGTATCTTCCATAAGTATTCCATTTAAATTTAAGTAGTGCTTCTCCATTTAAATATCTATAAAATTCTACATTTATCGCTTCAAGCTTATTAGAATATGTAAAAGGATTTGGACTGGGTAACAATAATTCTCCCCAAAAATTATATGCTTTCGGATAAGAAACAAAGTTTGGTAGAGGAATTGCAAGTATTGTCGAACTATGGCCTACATAATAAAAATCGATAAATGGTTTTATAATTAAACTTCGAATGGTAGGATGGTTATTTTGAAAGGTTTCAAAACTATTTTGAAAACTAATCCAACAAACACGAAAATTAGAAATTAATCTATCATAAAACGACTTAGATAAATGATGGTATTTTCCATAACTAGAAAGATGAGACGAAATAGAATTTGGAGTTACTTTAGTAGATGGAACTACAAATCCTATCACAGACAAAGCACTTGCTATAAATGCAGGATGATTTTCTGATAGTTCTTTAAAGTTTTCAAAAATAATAGTCAAAAAACAAATTTTAGAAATCAAACGATTATTATCTTGCAAACACTTCTCCAAACAGCTCTGGCCTAAACATCGAATCCATTTATCATCCTTTAATTCGATAAGTGTTTTCATGAGAATTTTCCCGTAGCAAGTTAAATAAAATTCTTCATCGATATTACTTTGCAAAAACTCTTTAAAAAGTTCTTTTTGCTCTTTCTCTTTTTTGCCAAATTTAATATATAAATTTTTAAGGATTGTTTCATAACTTGATACAGGAAGAATTCTTCTTGAATTTCTTAAAGTCCAGTCCTCAAAGAGATTTATGAGATCTTTAAATGGTGTCTTTTTAATATCGAAATCCTCTAAACGATCAGTCCAATTATTCCAAAAATAGTGCATCTTAATATCAGATTTTTTATAAATCCAGATAATTACTCCAATACGTGTAATTGTAACGAAATCATCATTTTCAAGAATTTCGCAATGTATTATAAAATCTTTTCCATTAGGATAAAATGATGGAAGAATATCCAGTTGCTTTTTTTTATCATTCCATTTTTTTCTGCGAGAATTATAATCAACTACTGTAAGTCTGGCTGAATTATCATCTAATTCTAATTCCCATGTTAAAAATTTACCTACAAATTTTAAATCGTCGAGGTTATATCTACTGTCCTTTATAATTTCTGTTATAATATCAATTGTCTTTTTAGATGGAGTAGTAATGTTATTTCTGTCATTCAGATTTTCTCGTAAGTATTTGATCCATTCATCAGAATTATCAGAGACTAATTCTTTAATTAACAATTTTTCATTAATCGCATAAATTATTTTATCTGATCGAATTATGTATGGTTCTTGTATTTGTTTTTCTTCAATCTTGTCAAAAAATTCACACGCATCTATTGAAATTTGGAGGTTATAGGAGTCCAGTAAACAATAATCATAGCCTGAATCATCGACTGAAATATAGAATAATCTTTCTCCCTTTCTAGAAGCGATTAAGTGAAATCTATTTATTACACTTTTTGTAGAAACTAAAAAATAAAAGATAAAAAATTAATATAAAAAAATTTTATCCTATCAATTATTATTTATTTTAATTTGGAATCTTACGCATCGACAGGTTCATCCCAGTTTCGGTGGAAAAAGAGTATAAATGTGTTTTTTCCTTAGCTTCCTTAGCCTCCTCATTTTTTGCACATACTAATAATAATTCTTCATCATCACTAATTTCTACATACTCAGGTATATAATCCCAGTCTATTAAAATACGAGTTTTAATTGATAATGTTTCAATATCCCACATCGTAATTTCATAAATCGTATCATTAAATAAGATCAAATTGCCTTTAGGAGTAATGTAAATTTTTTTAAAATATTTCAACTCAATCATTGATTTACAAACCCAAATAATTTTATCTTTTTTTCTTTTACTTGTAAAAACATATGCTCTGTAATACTTGTCATTGACCATTACAAGATTTCCACTATTGATAAAGGATAAGAGGTCAATTTCCTTTTGCCGATCTGGAAAAGTTAATGGCACCTCCTTTTCAGCTTCAAAATCGAAAAATACTTGAAAAAATGTACATGAACATATGATAAGTACAATTAAATTAATTGAAATAATAGCAATTATAATAAATTTATGTATATCTTACTGAAGTTATAAGGATCAACTCTATTAAGACTAATTGAAGCATACGTATTGTCTGAAATTGCAAATATTCTTTTTTCTTTTGTGAGTATATTGTCAATATGAATCGTCTTTATGTTTGTTAAAAGTTCATTTTGACTATTGATAGACCAAAGGCTAATATTGTTATCTTCGTCTAATGTAGCAACATGCTTCAATTGAGGCGAGCAGACAATATCCAAAATCTTCTTATTTTTATCTGAAACCTCCTCGATTTGAATTTTCACATCTGAATTAGATGTCATTTTAGATAAATCTTTAATAATAAATTTTCTAATAATATTTATAGTGATAATATTTATAGCGATTAGTTGTATAAATTAAAAAATTTGAGCGAGATTTACAATCGTATTTGAAATATTTGAAGTTTCAATCTAAGCCATAAATTTGTTAGTAAATATTTAAAAAATATTTGTGGCGAAGTAGTTTTCCACGTATGCTTTGAGCTTAACAATTTTTAGCGCCTGACTAGTGACTTGGCCACGGAATTCACGACTACCTATATGTCAGCCAACACTAATGTAATAAAAGTTTCAGATATATTACGTCGTAGAAAATTTAAATAATAAAAAATAATCTTGCTCTAACTATTTTTTTTTTACTTGCTTATCAAAACTTCATAGACATTAAAATAAATGGTTCAAGAATTTCATGCTTTTTATTATAGATCTTCGTTATTGATACATAAAATTTCCGATAACATTTAATAAACCACATAGAGAGAGTTCTTAAGCACCTAAATCAATGGGTCAGTCAAAGTGTGCCGAAAATATGCTGGGAATTAAAGTTTAATTAGCGGTAAGTATTTACCCCGAATCACCTTTTTTTTTGCGCTAACTTTTCAAAAATTTATAAATATTAAAGTGAATAAAGTATTATTATTCAAGTGTTTGTATACTTTTATTGTAAAATTTTCGATAAACTATTTAGAATCCTCTCAAATTTTTATTTTGATTTATCGTTGCAATTGCGCACTATTATGAAATAACAGTAATAGTAATGTTTGAGCATACATATCTCAAAAATTATTGACTTTTATTCAAAAAGTTATGACTATAACCAAAATTATGTCACAATACTTGTGCACTATTTCGACCACTGTGAAATCACATTGAGTTGATGCTTGAGAACACCCAGAATCTATACTGATTGAAGTTTGTTTAGATCTATCGTAGCATCGCTGCAATTGTTAGCAGTGTGATATTTCCATCTTTACTATTGATTTTTTTCTAAAATATTATGAAATAGTTAAAAATTACGTAATAGCACTTGTGCACTATTTATGAATACAATAAAATTTCTAGGTAGATATTTAAAAACGCCCTTAATTTTGTCGATAAACAAATTCAACATATTAAATGAGTAACAGCTAAAAGCATTTATACGGTAAATGTTCGTTATGCTCTCAGAAAAATCAATAACGATAAGTGATTTTTATATTCTTAGATTGAGAATGCTCTCAAGCATCTTCTTGAATGCGATTTCTAGTGATCGAAATAGCGCACAAGCTAGTACGTAGTAGTGACGACCAGTGTTTAAAATTACCTTGCACAAGAGAAGTTTTAAATGTAAAAGCACATGTGTGCAATTAAATTTAAATAAGGACTTACACAAAAAATAACGTGCAAGAGAAATTATAAAATTTTATTGCACAAAAAATTAGGCCTAAATACAAATATGAAATTGGATAAAGATAGTCCGAAAGTTCCGAAAGGAAAATAAAATTCGAACAAGGATGGGCTTAAATTTTGAGCAAAATATGATATGTTTGGTATTGTAATTTTATATGTTGGTATTATTCAGAGATAATAAATATGTGCTATAATTATAAAATTTATATGCTATGACATAACTGCATTTGTGCATGTAGGTTTCGATCTGAATTTTAAACACTGGTGACGACTAGTGATGCAAGAGCATTAAATTCTACATGTGTATAAAAATTTTAAAATCGAACAGCAATTCTACAACGCAGTAGTATTGAGAATAATGTCAGTCCTGGTCTGGTCTTGGTTCAAAAGACCGGGTCCGAGCAGCGGACCACAAACCGGACGAAATTTCATAAACTTGTTCACGAACCAGTCCTAGTTCAATCCGGTTCAAAGACAGGTCTAATATTTCTTGATTTTTTAATAAATTGATATAGTAGCCAAATATTAAGAAAATTCTTCTCTTTTAAAAGTAGGATGTATGTAGATTATTTTTTATATGATCTATGTAATATTTTGAATTTTTATATAGTAAATAAAAAGTGCTTCTAATAAAACTTTTTAATATCTAAACCAATTTTTATTAAATTTATATAATATTGTTACAATGCTATAGCCTTCTTAGTATAAATATAGCAAAGTAACAAGGTCACCCAGTGCAGTGATATACTTT